GAATTGGATTGAAAAAACCGCTTGAGTGTTGAGAGATCTAAATGTACCTCTCAACGACTACCCAAGGTTCGCAGCACAGTTACTTCGTGGAGAAGCATACGAATGGTGGAAACGTACCGATGATAGTAACGAAACCCCAAAGCCTTGGACGTGGGAGTTCTTTGACTGGGCTTTCAAGAAAGAGTATATCCCAGCACGTTTCCGTGAAGAGAAACGTACCGAATTTGTTGAGTTACGACAAGGGGATATGACGCTTCCCGAATATCGCCAAAAGTTTGTCAGTCTGGCCAAATTTTCACCGACGTTAGTTAGCACCATGACTGACCGTATTGAGGAATTCAGGTCAAAACTCCGACCTGATCTCAGGGATCAAGTATCTGTCATACCAACGGTGGACTTCACGGAAGCCTATGATCTAATTGGTAAAGCAGACAGGGATCTGAATGCTTGTAAGGAGTACTTGAAGAAAGAAGGTGCTAACACAAGTGAACGCTGACCCACAAATTCTGTCCCGAGTGGGAAAAGACCATTTCAAGGATCCAGTAGCTCACACTACTCTAAGAAGGGGAAATCTGTACAAACCCAATCAGTGGCAACAAGTCAAGGGGATGGAAAAATCCAATGTGTAATATGTGTGGGAGACACCATCCTGGGGAGTGTTGGCTTGCTCAAGGATTATGTCTGGGTTGTGGAAAACCTGGACATTTCCGAAAGAACTATCCCACAAATCCTGGAGAGCCATTTCCACCTGCCTCTACTGCCAGTCAGGCGGCATCAACACGTCCCGCACCCAATCAACGCTCGACTATAGGATCTAATCCTGTTAAAAATCAAAACCAACAACAAGGACGAGCGCCTACCCGTACGTATGCCATGAAGGGACACACTGAAGAGAACCCTGACGTCATTCAGGGTATGTTTTCATTATTTGATACTGTTATGCATGTGCTGATTTATCCTGGATCAACATTATCTTACATCTGTGTACCTATGCCTGACAAAGCTGACATATTTTAAGAAAACTTAGAACACCCTATACTAGTGTCTAATCCACTAGGACATAGTATGATGTTACATCATATATACCAAGATTGTCCGTTGATTGTCGAAGGACAACAATTCCTTGCAAATTTTGTTGAATTGCCGTACAAGGAATTCGACGTCATCCTCGGTATGGATTGGCTTACGGAACATCAAGCTGTTATCGATTGTCGACGATGGGTGATGCAACTGAAAAACAATGATGGAAAGACCATAGAAGTGAAAGAAAAACTGACACCCAAACCTACTGAATTTATCTCGTACATACATGCTAGGCGTCTTATCCGTAAGAAATGTGAAGCTTATTTATGTAATGTACGAGACACATCAAAAGAAACGCATGGATTGAAGGACATACCAACAGTGTGTAACTTTCTTGATGTATTTCCTGACGAACTTTCTGGTATACCATCTTCCAGAGAAGTAGAATTTTCCATCGATCTTGTTCATGGGACAAGACCGATATCAGCAACTCCCTATCGTATGGCTCCTGCTGAAATGAAAGAGTTGAAAGCCCAACTACAAGAACTACTTGATAAAGGGTTCATTCGACCGAGTGTTTCCCCTTGGGGAGCACCCGTTCTGTTTGTAAGAAAGAATGACGGTTCGATGAGACTTTGCATCGATTACCGTCAATTGAATAAAGTCACAATCAAAAGTCGTTATCCTTTACCCCGTATCGATGACTTATTTGATCAGATTAGAGGATCTAATGTATTCTCTAAGATTGACTTACGGTCAGGATACCATCAAATTCTAGTCAAGAAAGAGGACATCCCAAAGACCACATTCCGTACTCGTTATGGTCATTATGAATTTACGGTGATGCCATTTGGTTTAATGAATGCTCTAGCAGTATTCATGGATCTCATGAATAGTGTATTCTGACCTTATCTTGATCAATTCGTGGTTGTATTCATCGACGATATTCTTGTCTATTAGAAGAATCGAGAAGACCATGCGAAACACATGGAGGTAGTATTCAGTGTACTACGAGAGCACAAACTATATGCTAAACTGTCAAAATGTGAATTCTGGATTGATGAAGTCACCTTCCTAGGTCATGTGATTTCAAAAGAAGGTGTCAAAGTGGACCCTAGCAAAATATCTGCCATCACTGAGTGGAAAGTTCCAAGGAATGTTCGAGAAGTAAGAAGTTTTCTGGGATTAGCTGGATACTATCGACGATTCGTTGAAGGCTTTTCCTCAATCGCAACCCCACTTAACAAGCTTCTGAGAAAAGACGTGAAATTTGTGTGGACCGACGCATGCCAACAAAGCTTTGAAAGGCTTAAGAAATGTCTGACAGAAGCACCTGTACTAACACAACCAGTACTAGGTGTAGACTATACGATCTTTAGTGACGCATCTCATAACGACTTGGGATGTGTACTTATGCGAGACGGTAAGGTTGTGGCATACGCATCAAGGCAAATGAAACCTCACGAATGACTCAGGTAAAATTACATGGTGTGCCCTTGTCTCTCATTCTTCAATCAATGACTCAGGTAATTTCGAGGACGAAATTATTTTAAGGGAGAGAGATATGTAATGCCCCAAATATAGGCCTATCAGAATTAATTAATTGATAATTAATTAATTACTGAGATGGACCCAAAAATATGTGAATTATAAAGTTTGTCAATAAATAATAAAAATTATATCGTTGTGTAGAGTTTAACTGTCTGATTCCAACAGTTCAATCGGATTTCAATTCGTGGAAAGTTGGACCAAAAAAGAGTTTCCCGACTGGGACCAAATTAGTCCCAATCAGGGACTTACGTTTAAAATCGGAGAAGACAACAACCCGCTCCACTCAGCCATCGAAATAGTCGCAGGAGAGGTCATCAACCTGTGTCTTCTTCCTCTTCCTTCTCCTATAAAAGGCTACCATAACACCCTTCATTATTCACCATTTCTTACAGAATTTCATTCTATTCTGTTTCTTGTTGAGAGAGGAGTGCAGTGGTGCTGTCATCTTGGTGAGAGGTAGCCGGAGTTGGGAGTAATCGTCGCAGGAAGTTTCGCCAGAAAATCTTCAAAACCTTCATTTACCTTCGAGGTAAGCCCGTAGATATATCTAGTGACTAGAATGTCCATATACATCGTTTCTACGTTCATAAACGGTCGTTTGGTTGAGTTTTGTGTTTCATATGCTTGAAGAACGAAGAATCATAAACCATGAAATTGACGTTAAAACTATGAATTAATGATGCCAAAATGATCTATGAACTTTGGAGAACATCTTTATATAGTTTCGTTGAAGTTCGATAACTAAAAATGGTATTTCCGAAATTGGACCCGAACGAAGAAGAAGATGAACAGTGGCTGAAACACCACTGTCTGGATCGATCCAGGGGCCATGATCGATCCCCTGGGAGTGATTTTTCATAGTATGGATCGATCCAGAGGGCTGGATCGATCCCCCGAATTTCTGATCCGAAAATTTGTCTGAAAATGTTATTTTTGAGCTCTAAAATCCTATTTTTGATACCAATTGATTATGATCATTATAAAAATGATTTTTTCACATTAAAAGTAATATTTTTAACAAATAAAATGTTATGTGATGCATGACGGTAAGTTAGGATCTTAACACCCGAAGCTAGGCCGCTAATTGTTATTGAATATTATGTTGATCGATGATTATGGTAATGATTATTGATAGATGATTATGATGATTAAATCTTAATAAATACTCTGATTAAAAATGATAATTGTGAATAATTAAATCATAATGAATATATTGATGATTGTGAAAATAATACTCCCTCCGTCCTGAAATGTTCTTCCCACTTACTATTCATACGGTCAAACTTTAATCACTTTCTTTACCTATTTTCATTAGGTATTTGATAAAATAATATAGTCTTGTCACCACTTGTTTTGTAGAACTTTTGATGTAGCTTTAAATATATAAATTTTATTTTTTAATTTCACACCTACAATCAAATAAATTGAATTAAAAATAAAGTCGGTCAAACTTCGTAAACAGAACCGGGAAGAACATTATAGGACGGAGGGAGTATATTGTTAAGGGTATCTAGAAGACCTCTAAGATATACCCATATTAATGTTGATTTCAAAGGTATCTAGAAGACCTCTAAGATATAGCTATTTAAGTTAGGCCTTGCGGGTATGAACCCCGGTGGCTAGGTTTAAAACGTACGTACGGGATCCAAGAACCAAACTTGAGTACCTACTCGTTTGGGAGTACCACCCACCCAACAGTGAACATTACGCTGTCGGTTTCTGGTTGGCCTTAAGTGAAGGTAAGTTTAAGATTTTCAAAACCCTTTTATCTTAAACTAGGCCTAACTTAATGATTATTTAGGCATACTTTATACTGGAATATAGTTTAATTATTTAAGCTAGAATTCGTTAAAGGGTTGACAAATATTAAAGTGATTGGCCTTAGAATAAGAATAGTATAAGGATACTATTGAATATTGAATATGAATAAATATTGAATTGAATATTGTGGTTATTATGAATGACGGATAAAATGTGAAAATAAAATAATGAATGTTTAATATTGGCTTATGATTATTGAGTACCTGAACTGAACATTATGTGCATGATATCAAATGATTTGATTATGAATTTAGATTCAGTTTATATGGATGTTCGACGCATTAGATATGCTTACTCAGCTTAAACGCTAAGCGTGTAGTATGTTTTATTTGCTACACGCAGGTACACAAAAAGAATGAAGAAATGATTTCTTGGAGGTAGATGGGACGAGATGGTCGGACGGATGTGTGTTTTGGATTTAAATTACTGTTTGAAAAGACATAAATTAATTATGTTTGTATTATGTTTTATTAAGCTTCCACAACATTAAATTACTCTGTTGCTATTTTGAATTATTTATTATGAAATAAAGTTTTAAATGTTTGAAATATTTTGAATGTTTACGAATACCAAGTTTATACTTTAGTCCTAAAAGGGCTGCAGACCTGGACGGATTAGGGTGTTACGCTATCTTCTTTTACCAAAGGTTCCAAAATAGCAAGAAAGAAAACCCTATGAGTTTGAACAAGTGCCTGCAGCGTGGGTAAGGAGCTGCGCACTCCCCTAATGTTCCAGAACATAAGATTCATGAGATAACCAAGAGAGAGGGATCTAGAGCAGCTTTCATTCCTCTAGTCTGGACTGAAAGCTTATAAGTTTTAGCTTTGGCACTCCCTCCCCTTGATAGAATAAGAGCTTCACCAGAGACCTTAGGGGTTCCAATATCAAGGTTTTCCAGGGCTAAGGTGTCCATAACGTCCTGCCCGTCTTGGTCTGAGTGCATGCAAATTTCCGTAATGGCCTCCAGGTTAGGTTCTGAGTGACCCAAGATGGAGTGGAGGAAATCATCACTACCTTTATCATTACGAAGAAGCTGCAAGTCATCCATGCTACCCTTACACCCGAGGTTCTTAGGAAGGGAGGGACCACCCTCCATACTTCTAGAAGAGTCAAAATGTTCCTTGGGTGAGCAAGGGCCCTCTCGAGGGTGGTTGATATTGTGCGTTTGGACTGATATGCTTGGAGGGTTACTGCATTTAGTAGCAAGATGAGTCACACGTACTCGAAGTGCATGGAATTTCCCCAGGCTGAGCAAGATGGGCCCGGCTATTGTCCAGAGTTTGTAATATCTTGCTTGGGGTTTTCTTCTTGTGTCTGACAACCGTCCGCTTGCCCTTTGTAGCTGTAGCTTTGTCAGATGCCGTCATATGGTCACCCCTGTTCATCATCCCACCGGAGGGGAGTTTTCCGGTGGGTTTTGCAGGAGATGAGCAAGAATGCCCAAATCTTCCACATTTACCATAGTAGAGGGGGATATCTTGAAAGGATAACGGAAGAGAGTCAACATGATCTCCTTATCTAACATTCACATCCTTGGGAAGCTGGCTGGATATATCTAGTTCAATAAGCACCCTGGCAGTGTTGAGATATTCTACGTGATATGTGCGTTCATCCATCTTGATAGGGATTCTAATAACACTAGAGATTGAGAGAAGCGCTCTAGGGTCTTGGAAGTGAATGGGGATGTTTTTGATAGTAACCCAGATTGGTAGGAGAGGGCTGTCTTTAGATCTGAGATACAATGGCATCCATTTAGATAGGTATATGCGTGTCCCATTCACAGACCATATACGTCTGGTCATTAACCTATAGAAATCTTCCTCTTCGTTGAAGTTAATGAGAACCTGGAAGCGTGTGAGTGAACTAACCTTGAATCCTCCAAAACAGGAGCGCCTTAGGCTATAGGCAATGTCTTCATTAGAAACCTGACTTGATAGTCTCCCAATAACTCTAAATTTATATTTTGAAGAGAGGTCATGAACTTCTTCATTGGAGAATGTAAGCACCGGTCCAGTTCCTTCACTTTTGATTTGTCCGTAGGCCTTGGTGGAGTTTTTGACGACGTCGGAGAAGAGTCGGTGTTTCGTCGTAAATTCTGGCCAAAAAGAGTTGCCGAAATGTGGATTTCCCTTTCTATCTCTAGACGCCACTTTTTCATATATATATATATATATATATATATATATATATATATATATATATATATATATATATATATATATATATATATATATATATATATGAACACATTACATATATATATCATTATTAAAGAATTTAAAATAAACACTATTTCATTTTTATTTGTTAAAACTTAGAATATATGTGAGCCCGTGCAAAGCACGGGGTTGATACTAGTTCCACTTTATAAGCCACACTTACAAAATGTGAATTACCCACAATTATAGTGAAATGTTTTGTAAAAAGTCATTATATGTGGAATTCTAATTCCCCAAAAATATGGCTATCAGAATTGATTAATCGATAATTAATTAAGTATTGGAAGGATCGAAAAATAGGTAATCTTTAAAGTTTGTCAATTAATTTTGAAAATTATATCGTTGTGTAGAATTTGACTATGTGATCATAATGGTACAATCGGAATTTAATTAGGAGGAAGTTAGACCAAAAAGTGTACCCGATTGGGAACAAAATTTGTCCCAATCAGAAGAGACGTAAAATATTGCAATGCATCGCCGCTCACTGCACTATGCCGAACAAACATGGAACGGTGAAGGGAGCCATGTCTTCTTTTTCCCTACTCTCCCTATATTAGCCACCTCAATCTCCCTCATTCCTTCACGAATTTCCTTAAAATTATTTTCTGAGAGGTAGCTTTGAGTGTAGAGAGTTCATTGGTGCTGTCTTTTGGGTACGAGGTTGCCAGAGTTGATAGTAATTGTCACCAGAAGTTTGGTCGGAATTTTCCCAAAACCTCTGTTTCAGCTCGATGTAACCTTTAGATATATCTAGTGACTAGAATGTTCATATATATGTTTTTACGTTCATAAATGGTCGTTTTGTTGAGTTTGTGTTTGACATGCTAGAACAACCAAGAATCATAAACCTTGAAGTTATTGTTAAAACTTTGAATTAATGATACCAAAGTGATCTATGAACTTTGGAGAACAATTCTATATAGTTTAATTAAAGTTTGATGGCTAAAAATGAAGTTTTCAAAAATTGCACCGTGATTGAAGACGGCACTGTTCAAACTTTGCACAAATGCGGTATCGAGCTACCGCCCAGACGGTGCCAAGGTTCAACCTAAAAGGTAGGCTATACCGCCGGTAATGGTAGACAGATACCATCCCAACCAAGTTTCTCTATCGGTACCAAAGACCAGGCGGTACCCCATACTATCTGAATAGTATCGTGTATTGGTACCGAGGTACTGTGTGAACCAGGAATTTTTCTACAAACTTAAGTTTTGAACTGTAAAATCCTATTTTTTGATACCATGCAACTATAAATTGGTATGAATAACATTTCCAAACCAAATATGATATTTTAATAAATTTAAGAACCTTATTTGATGCGTGACGGTAAGCTTGGGTGTGAACACTTGATGCTAATGCACTATTTGTTATTAAATATTACGATGATGATTATTGGTTTTTATAATTAAACCATGATTAAATAAATCAATTAATTGATCAAATTTTGATGATAAACAATCAAGACTATCTAGAAGAACTCTAAGATAGACCACATGTGACTTAGTTACTTTGGGCCTTGTGGGTATGAAGTCTGGTGGTCTGGATAAAAAGCGTACATACTGTTAGAAAAACATCCCAACGCTAGAGGGGGGGGTGAATAGCATTTGAAATGAAAATGACGCAGGAATAAAAAATTAAAAGCGTAAAGTAAAGAGAAAGGAAGAGGCACACCGTTTTTACCCTGGTTCAACAGAACGTGTGGCTAGTTCAGCCTCCCGAGAGACTCTCTTGAGCTACACTCTCAATGTTAAGCTTAACGGTGCTTAACAAACTCGTACAACTTGAGAGTTCGAGTCACACGAACCTCAACGACCCTTCGAAGGAAACAACCCTTCCTTCGAACTACTCAAGAGAAAGACTTTCTGTTATCAAGTGTCTAAGAACACTAAATCGCTCAAGAACAATACTCTCTTTTAGAGTGGATAATGAGTAACTAAAAACGCTCAAGAACACAACACGAACTTCACAAAAATGGCTCTCGAAAAGCTATGAATGATGTATGAATGATATGCAATGAAAGAATAAGAGTTTGTGAAGTAATGTGATATATAAAGCAGACCCAAACACCCCTTTTTATAGTGACAAAGTAGGCTCCAACGGATCAAAACATTTAAGGGGTGATTGGCACAATTTGTGGGATTTGATTAAAATTGGATCTGCTGAAAATCAGCCAGACAGCGTTGTCCATGACTTGGACATCGCTGTTCTAGGCTTAGTTTTTGGAAATTGGGAAGCAACGGTCAAGCCAACAGCGATGTCCAAAACCCCTACATCATTGTTTTGGCTGTTGACTTCCAAACATGCAAAGTTTTAGCCACAAATTCCTTTCAGCGGTCAGGTGCCTACATCGATGTTCATTACTTGAACATCGCTGTTCAGGCGCCTGACTTTGAAGGGGAAGGAATTGGCCTGACATCGATGTTGCTGGGTCAACAGCACTGTCCAAAAAATTTCTGCCAAGGCATTTCTTTTTGGCTTAGGTTGGACAGCGACGTAGGGTAGTCTACATCGTTGTTCCAGATGTTTATAGAAACCCTACCTTGGCTCAACAGCAATGTCTAACGTCCAACATCGCTATTGGAAGACTTAGCGCCAAGCCATGGTTTTCAACTGCCCATTCTAGACAGCGCTGTTGGTTACTCCAACATCGCTATTGGGCTGGTTTAGCCAGACCCATGGTTGGATTAGTCATGCCGTTAGCCGATGTCAAAAATCTAAGTTCTCCAAAGTAAAAACCAAGTATTGAAAACATTTTTTTAATGCATTTTGCTAAGAAATCAAGTAAAACATCTTGAAGACCACGTCATTTAGATAAAAACCACGGCTAGCCAAGTTTACGCCGTTTCACATGGTTTTTACTAAACGACCAAAAACGAAGGATGGTTTTTGAAGCGTTTTTTGTTGGAGAAATATTTAAATATGCCCAGAAGTAAAAACGAATCATAAAATGTTGAGAACCACTTAGTTGGTTCGGACACCAAAAACCAACACCGGTAACCGAATGCCGAATGCCGGTTCCTGAAAACCGAATGCCGGATGGCTTGGTTTTTGGTTTGGGCGAACACCAAGTGTTTTAGGCTTGTTTAAAACTTATGAAAAACATTTTTGAATATGAAAAAGAATATTTTAATGAAGTGAGCCTAGGGAGCCAAGTTTTGGAAGCTTGTGCCGGTCTTGATCACATTAAGACCGACTCAATAAATTCTAAGTCTTCGTTCTTGGTTCTTGGTTTTCAATTCGTCATGCCATGTTCCTTCGCCTTTGATTTGCTCAACTTAATCTTTTTGTCACGGCGGTTTGGCATTATCAAAACCTGTCATAAAACGAACACGGTTTAGTACGACATAGGCGTAAACCCGTGTTCCAACAATTTCCCCCTTTTTGATAATGGCAAACAAGACGGGGATATGCATATTAAGGGATATTTGATTTTCAAAAAGAAGTGTGAAAAGGTTCCCCCTTAATTTGTGCTTAAAAAACAAGTAGTCGTTTTAAAATCAAACTCATTTTAAAATCAAACGATCCCGTTTAGAGACGTTCCCCCTTAGTATATGCATAGCCCTTTTCTTCTCCCTTTTGACATTAACAAAAAGATAAAAGATAATTTTTATTGATTAAATAGGGAAAGAGCGGAGTACAACGAAAGCAACTTAATTAAAAAACATGACAATCGAATAATTAAAAAGAGATAGAAAGTCTAGGGGCGGCCTAGTCTTCATCTTCGGTTTCCTCCTCGTCGTCGTCAACGTCCATCTCATCACCATCATAGGCATCGTCAAACTCATCCTCGTCCGGGGAGCTTGACGGGGCGTATGAGCCATCATCTTCGTCCTCTTCACCGTACACTTGCCCAAGGAACGTGCCTTGTACGGTGGGGGGACGTAGTTGACGCGTTGGAAGTACGCGTTCATGGCGTGCCCTTGGTGTTGAATAGCCTCGGTGAGTCGTTCAAGGTACCCGTCCATCCCGTCGACTTTGAAGTGCAGCCGGTTGAGGGAGTCAGCGATGGAGGCAAGGTTGGCCCGGGCCTGGGGTTCGGCTGGGCCATTGGCAGGACGGCGGCGTTGTTCGACCGCTTCTTGAAGGTTTGGGCGCTGATCTTCCAAATTTTCGTGGCCTTGGTGAGCGGGCCAACGGTGGTGGTCACCTTGAAACGTTTAAGGATGTCCATCACCAAGAAGGGGTAAGGGAGGAGTTGATCGTGGGCGGTAGATGTGGCGTCCGTCATGTAGATCATGACAAACTTCGCCCAATTGATTGGTGCAGAGTGCATGATGGCGTGGAGGAGCTTGAGGTCCTCGCCGGACATGATCGTGTGCCCGTGCCTCCGGGGCTTGAGTATCCGGGACACGATGTAGAGAAGGAGGCCGCTCTCGGGGGTCGCAGAGTGGATGGTGGGGCGGCCCGTGGGATGGCGGATGAGTTCTGTGATGCCGAGCTCGTTGAAAAATAGGCCCTCGTTGTTGAGGACCCAATCTTCTCCGCCATAGGTGAAAATGTCGTCGCCTTGGTAGGGGAGGCCGGCGATGCGCCCAAGTCGCTCCACGGTGATTTCAATCGGCGTGGACTTGACGAGGCTGTAGATGACGTTGTCCTCATGCCAGAGATTCGAGTAGAAGGCCCGAATCAGCACCGGGTTGATCTCCTTCCGAGCCCGGGAGACAAACGGCCATAGGCCGGTTTAGTGAAGCTGCCCGTCGAGGAAGTCGTAGCCTTGCAACTCCTCGAAGCGCTCCGGGACAATCCGCGGGGGAGCCACAACCCGCTTGGAGAAGAAGGTGAGAAAGCGGGTGCGCTCCTCCTCGGAATCGAACCAGAGATACCACCTGTCGCCGTAGTAGAGGTGTTCCTCGGAAGTCGTCGTTGGAGCCCGGGATTTTGCCTTGGATTTCCCGGATGTAGCAGCCATGCTCTTGTCTTTTCCCATGGATGAAGAATTCTCAAGAGAAAAATTGTAGAGGAGATGAAATATTCAAAGTGATTGAAGAGAATTGTGTTTGTGTGTGTAAAAGTGAAGAGATTGAGTTCAAAATATATAGGGAGAGGGGTTCCCAACGTTCAACATTTTGAAAAAATGGCTGTTGGAGCATTTAATTCAGTGCCCAACGGGTATTTTTTTTGAAAAAATCAGCTTGAACAGCGTTGTTCCAAAGGTGACAGCACTGTTGGGACAGCGCTGTTTTGCCTTTGTACAGCGCTGTTTTGCCTTTGTACAGCGCTGTTCTGCATCAAGTTTTAAAAATAGGTGTCAAATGGACAGCGATGTTGGGTTCCCTACAGCGATGTTTGAAAAGATTCTAGAAAAAAATATAAGAGGGCTCCCTGTGACATCGCTGGTGATGTATTGTACAGCGCTGTTGGCCCAAGTTGGTTGACGATGTTTCCTTCAACAGCGCTGTTGGTCTCCTGGACAGCGCTGTAGGATCAACGATGTTGTCCCTCTTACAGCGATGTTTGCATGGTTCCCCCTGATTTTATGAACGGGGTACCTGCAAAAAAGAAAAAGTTCTCTGATGCTTAAGTTAGTAAACGTTTAACAAGTTAAAATGCACAACTTAGATCATCGTGGAGTCAAGGATTCCGAGTTCACTTCGAATGCGGAAGAACGACTCTTTCTCTAAAGGTTTTGTGAAAAATGTCGGCTAATTGGTTGTGTGTTTCAACGAACTCAATTTCGACATCACCTTTGAGAACATGGTCTCTAATGAAATGATGCCTAATGTCAATGTGTTTAGTCCTTGAGTGAAGAACGGGGTTCTTCGTCAAGCTTATGACGCTAGTATTATCACAACGAAGAGGAACGTGATTGATACTAAGGCCATAGTCCACGAGTTGTTGCTTCATCCAAAAGATTTGAGCACAACAACTACCGGCGGCTACGTATTCCGCTTCGGACACGATTGATACCTTGCGCAGAGGCATACGCTGAACATGATATCCGGCCTACTAGCAGTAAGATAAAGAAAGGATCCGATCATACCTCGATACTTTTTTACCTCTACTTCCTTACCTTTCTCGTCTTTGTCAAGATGGTCGGATGTGCTCATCGGGGTTGCCATGGCTTTGGCGTTGTCCATTTCGAACTGTTTTAGGAGTTGTTTACAGTACTTAGTTTGGCAAATGAATGTGCCATCTCTCATTTGCTTCACTTGAAGTCCCAAAAAGAACGTAAGCTCACCCATCATTGACATCTCGAACTCGCTAGTCATTAATTTGGAGAATTTCTTGCACAAAGTCTCGTTAGTAGCACCGAATATAATATCTGTTGGTCTTATGGGGGACCATCGATCACCCTTAGGGATTCGCTATTGTGCTAGTCACGGTATCGGGTACTGACAGCCCAACCTGACGAGGTACACGAGTCGTGTATCTTGCGAAGCCCCTCCTGTTCATCCACCGCTCAGTAGTGGGGCTCTGCACTGCCATAGTGAACTATAGGGGGTGCCCTATAGGAATCTACCTTGGCTTGGGGCTACAGAGAGATGTGGTTAAATACAAAGTGTCCACCTTCCTATCACCAATTGGTTTTAGGAAGCATTTGGCACCTCTTTAACTTCAGAACTCTGTAGTTAAGCGTGCTGGAACGGGAGTAGTCTTAGGATGGGTGACCCACTGGGAAGTTCCAGAAAACGATCCTACAATATCGTCTACATAAACTTGAAACAAAAGGATGTTGTTGTTTTTACTCTTGATAAAAAGTGTAGTGTCAACCTTTCCCCTTTGGAAACCACTATCCAAAAGAAATTTACTCAAATGTTCGTACCAAGCACGAGATGCTTGTTTAAGACCGTAGAGTGCTTTCTTGAGTTTGAAGACATGCTCGGGATACTCAAAATCTTCAAACCCCGGAGGCTGGTCAACGTACACTTCCTCTTGAATAAAACCATTGAGGAAGGCACTCTTAACATCCATTTGATAAAGTTTAAAATCCATAGACGAAGTAAAAGCAAGAAGTAAACGTATAGCTTCTAAACACTACGGGTGCATAAGTTTCTTCAAAATCAATGCCTTCTTCTTGATTGTAGTCTTTAGATACGAGCCTTGGTTTTTTTTGTAGTGATTATTCCATTTTCATCAAGTTTATTACGGAACACCCATTTCGTACCAATAATCGTACGATCATCGGGCCTTGGCACCAATTCCCAAATGTCATTCCGTTTGAATTGGTTTAGCTCCTCTTGCATAGCCAAGGTCCAATGTTCATCATTTATTGCTTCGGAAATGGTTGTAGGTTCAATTTGAGAAACAAAAGCCATGTGTCCTACGGTGTCCCTAAGTGAGTTACAAGTACTTACCCCGCGGTTGATGATGCCGATTACCTGATCAAGTGGATGGTTCTTGTTCGTTCTCCAAGCGACGGGAAGCTCGGTTTCCTCTTGTTCCTGGGCTTCCTCATGTTTTTCTTTGTCCGCTTGATCTTCTTCATTTTCGACCATCACTTGAGGTGTTTCCTCAGTTTGTGGTTGCGGGTTGGTGTATATTGGCGTGTCTTCTTCATCGCCTTCAACGTGTATTCTTTCGAGCGAGTCTGCAAGATCATCACAAATAGCCTTTCTTGCCAAGCGAGTATTATCTTCGGAAAACACAACATGAGGGGACTCCTCAATAGTCAAAGTACATTTATTAAACACTCTATAGGCCTTGCTATGTAGTGAGTAACCAAGAAAAATCCCTTCGTCCAACTTGGCATCAAATTTTCCCAAGTTATCTTTGCCGTTATTATGAACAAAACATTTGCAACCAAAGACTCGAAGATGGGAAAGGTTTGGCTTTCTCCCTTTGTATAATTCATAAGGCGTTTTCATGAGTATCGGTCGAATGACGGCTCAGTTTAACACGTAGCTCGCGGTACTCACGGCATCCGCCCAAAAATACTTAGGGATTTTTGCCTCATTGATCATAGTTCTAGCCATCTCTTCGAGACATCTATTTTTATGTTCCACCAATCCATTTTGTTGTGGTGTACATGGGGCTGAGAAATTATGATCAATGCCAAGTTCGTCACACAAATCTGAAAATAGATTTCGTTCGAACTCTCCCCCACGATCACTTCTTATGGCTACTATTGTTGTTTCTTTTTCATTTTGAACATTCCTTAGAAAATTTTTGAAAACGTGAAATGCCTCACTTTTATGAGTAAGAAACAAGGTCCATGTAAACCTAGAGTAGTCATCGACAATTACAAACGCAAAGTAATTACCACTGAAACTTTTCGTTCTAGAAGGACCAAAGAGATCCATGTACAAAAGTTGAAGCGGTCTAGACGTTGAAACAACGTTTTTATACTTAAAAGAAGCTCGAACTTGCTTCCCCTTTTGACATGCATCACAAATGGTGTCTTCTTCAAACTTAAGTTTTGGAATGCCAATTACTAAGTTTTGTGAAACCAATTTGTTCAAAAGGTTCATGTTCATATGAGCTACCCTTCGGTGCCCTAACCAAGTGTCTTCCTCTTTACTCATGAGGCACTTAGCAAAGCTGGAAGGTGATTTGTCTAAGTTAACCATATAAATCTTATCGATTCTATCACCACATAGAATAACCTTATTATCACTAAGGCGTTCTACCGTGCATGATTTTGAATCGAAGGTCACACGATTTCCCTTGTCACATAATTGACTTATGCTCAAGAGATTCTGTTTAAGACCTTTAACTAGCAAGACATTATCTATAGAGGAGTTATTGGATTTACCTACCCAACCAATGTCGATGATTTTTCCTTTTCTATTGTCTCCAAAGATCACGTTCCCTCCTTTAGCGGGTTTAATTTGAAGGAACTTGGATGCATCCCCGGTCATGTGCTTGGAGCATCCGCTATCAAGGTACCAAAGTACTCTTGATGCCTTCAAGCACACCTATGAAACACATCAATGAGTTTTAGGTACCCAATTTACGTTAGATCCTCGTGTGTTAGGTGTGTGATGGTAGTGTGCTTGATTTTGTGATAGGTTCTTATGCCTAGTGTAACAAACGGGGGCAATATGGCCTATCCTATTGCAATAATGGCAAACTACGTCGGGGTTGTACATGTGCCTAGGTTCATAATAGTTAGAGGGTCTAACCATATTGTTCCTATTTTGTGAAAAAGGTGATCTTTGAAAGTTTTGAAATTGACCTTTTCTAGATGTTCTAACATTATTTCTTCTATTTTGAGAAAAATCGGTTTTATGCACAAAATCATTTTTCTTAGGTTTTCTACCATGAACATTTTTATTCCTAGGTTTTAGTCTAGGTTGTCTAGTGTCCTTAGGTTGACTAGGTTTTCTATTTTCCTGATTTTTAAGTTTCTTACGTTGAGCCTTGGGTGGTTGTCTAGGCGTTTGCTCAACGTTTTCTTTAACCTTAGCTTCGTTTTTATTAAAACCTATTCCTTCCTTAGAAAAATGCATAGTGTCAAGAAGTAAATTTAAATCTTTGTGTGGAGTATTAAACTTCTTAACCGTACTCTCAAGTTTTGCAACCTTTTCTTTTAAAGCTTTGAAAGATTGACATTCACTTGAAGAGTTGTCCGGTTTGTCAGCGCTTCTTTTTTCCTTAAAATTTATTTTCTTGTTTTAGCTTTTCATTATCTTTTTCTAGTTTTTCAAAATCATTTTCAAGAACTAAAAGACGTTTCTTTAATGATTTGTTAGTTTTAGAAGCGCTAACAAATTCATCGTAAAGCTCACGAAGTGCTTCTTGCATCTCTTCAAATGTGTAAGAGTCGGAAGAAGTGGTACATACCTCTTGTATATTGTCGGTTTGGTCTTCGTGTGCCATGAGACAGAGGTTGGCGGCTTCATCCTCTTCTTGGTTGGTTGACTCGTCGCCGGAGTCGCCACCCCATGAGATATAGGCTCTTTGCTTTTTGAAGCCGGGTTTGTCCTTGCCGTTTTTTCCTTTTGGACACCTCGGCTTGATGTGGCCTATCTCGCCACAACCATAGAACTTTGGGGGACCGTCGTGCTTTCTTCCTTTGCGCTTGAATTCCTTCTTCATGAATTTGTGGAATTTCTTGATGACGAGTCCAAACTCATTGTCATCATCGCTTGAAGCTTCTTCCACCGTTTCTTTGGTTTCTTTGAGCGCTATTCCTTTCTTCTTTTGTTCATTTAAAGACGGGGTTAGAATAGTATATTCATAAGTTTTGAGATTACCTCTTAACCCGTCGATGGTGACGTTTGAGACTCCAATGGATTCGTAGATTGCGTTGGCCTTTAATCTCCATTCGGGTGTGAGACTCCGCAGGATTTTCCTCACAAGATCCTTGTTGGCGTAAGTCTTCTTGAGAGCGTGAAGGTCATTGATGATCTTTGAGAACCGATCGAACATGTCATCGATCTTTTCGCCTTCATTCATCCTGAACATCTCGTACTCCTGCGTGAGGAAGTCAATTTTGGCTTCCCGAACTTGGTCCGTACCTTCGTATGTGACCTCGAGCTTGTCCAACATCTCTTTGGTAGTTGTGCAACACAAGATTTTGTGATAGTCCTTGGGGTTGACTGCACAGTAGAGCATGTTGATTGCTTTGGCGTAGTTCTCTACCTTTTTGATGTCTTCGGCATCAAATTCGTCCTCGGTCTTTGGGACAAGTTTCTCCCCAACTTTCTTCATTGGCGTTTCTTCGCCGTTCTTGATGGCCAACCACAATTGGAAGTTGGTGGAACGGATATAGATTCTCATCCGTTCCTTCCAATAGGAGTAGTTGGTGCCATCAAAGAGCGGTGGCCTAGAGGTGGATTGCCCTTCGCCAATACCTGCGTACAAATTTCTAGAAGAAGAGCCCATGATCTTATTCCTCTCAAATGGTTAAGTTTGGAAGAGAGTTAGGCTCCGATACCAATTGTTAGAAAAACATCCCAACGCTAGAGGGGGGTGAATAGCGTTTGAAACGAAAATGACGCAGGAATAAACAAATTAAAAGCGTAAAGTAAAGAGCAAGGTAGAGGCACACCGTTTTTACCCTAGTTCACCACAACGTGTGGCTAGTCCAGCCTCCCGAGAGACTCTCTCGAGCTACACTATCAACATTAAGCTTAACGGTGCTTAACAAACCCGTACAACTTGAGAGTTCGAGTCACACGAACCTCAACAACCCTTCGAAGGAAACAACCATTCCTTCGAACTACTCAAGAGAAAGACTTTCTCTTATCAAGTGTCTAAGAACACTAAATCACTCAAGAACAATACTCTTATTTAGAGTGGATAATGAGTAACTAAAAACGCTCAAGAACACAACACGAACTTCACAAAAATGGCTCTCGAAAAGCAATGAATAATGTATGAATGATATGCAATGGAAGAATAAGAGTTTGTGAAATAATGTGAAATAATGACTTGGACATCGCTGTTCTAGGCTTAGTTTTTGAAAATTGGGAAGCAACGGTCAAGCCAACAGCGATGTCCAAAACCCCTACATCGCTGTTTTGGCTGTTGACTTCCAAACATGCAAAGTTTTAGCCACAAATTCCTTTCAGCGGTCAGGTGCCTACATCGATGTTCATTACTTGAACATCGCTGTTCAGGCGCCTGACTTTGAAGGGGAAGGAATTGGCCTGACATCGATGTTGCTGGGTCAACAGCGTTGTCCAAAAACTTTCTGCCAAGGCATTTCTCTTTGGCTTAGGTTGGACAGCGATGTGGGGTAGTCTACATCGCTGTTCCAGATGTTTCTGGAAACCCAACCTTGGCTCAATAGCGGTGTCTAACATCCAACATCATTGTTGGAAGACTTAGCGCCAAACCATGGTTTTCTGCAGCCCATGCCGGACAGCGCTGTTGGTTACTCCAACACTGCTGTTGGGCTGGTTTAGCCAGACCCATGGTTGGTTTAGCCATGCCGTTAGCCGATGTCAAAAATCTAAGTTCTCCAAACTAAAACCAAGTATTGAAAACATTTTTTAATGCATTTTGCTAAGAAATCAAGTAAAACATCTTGAAGACCACGTCATTTAGATAAAAACCACGGCTAGCCAAGTTTACGCCGTTTCGCATGGTTTTTACTAAACGACCAAAAACGAAGGGTGGTTTTTGAAGCGTTTTTGTTGGAGAACTTTGTTGGTTCGGACGCCAAAAACCAACGCTAGTAACCGAATGCCGAACGCCGGTTTCAGAAAACCAAACGCCGGATGGCTTGGTTTTTGGTTTGGGCGAACACCAAGTGTTTTAGGCTTGTTTAAAACTTATGAAAAACATTTTTGAATATGCAAAAGAGTATTTTAATGAAGTGAGCCTAGAGAGCCAAGTTTTGGAAGCTTGTGCTGGTCTTGATCACATTAAGACCGACTCAATAAATTCTAAGTCTTCATTCTTGGTTCTTGGTTCTTGGTTTTCAATTCGTCATGCCATGTTCCTTCGCCTTTGATTTTCTCAGCTTAATATTGTTGTCACGACAGTTTGGCATTATCAAAACCTGATATAAAACAAACACGGTTTAGTACGACATAGGCGTAAACCCGTGTTCCAACACATACAGGATCTACAAACCAAACTAGAGGATAACTCGTTTGGGGATACCAACCACCCAATAGTGAGTAGTCCACTATTCAGTTGTTTGAGCATAACCTATAAAGACTTGTAAAGTAGGTCATGATTTTGGGTTCTACCTTAGACCAAGAATGGTTTAAGAGCATTGTTATGATTTGACCATAGACTAAGAATAGTTAATAACACTGTTGACACTATGAATATTAGATATCTGAACTGAATATTATGTGCATGATATCAAATGATTTGATTATGAATTAAGATTCAATTTATGTTGATGTTTGATGCATTAGATATCCTAACTCATTTTCACCATTGAGCCTGTAGTACATTTTACTTGCTACACTCAAATAAATGAAATAAAGAATGATGTGATTGATATTGGTGGTAGATGGGGACATGATATGTTAGATGGATGTGTGATGGTTTTGAATTCTTCAATTGTTATCTAAAAAATTTATTAATGACTTTGATGTAAAACTATTTATTAAGCTTCCGCAATTTGATAAACTCCGTTAGTGTTTATAAATATTTTATGATGATGAAATAAAGTTTGAACTACTGAAATGTTTAAATTTTACAATTATCAAGTTAATACTTTAGTCTGAAAGGTGTTAGAATAAAGGCCCAACGCTAGAGTGGGGTGAATAGCGTTTAAAGCAAAATCGCAGGAAATTAAAAACGAGAGCGAAAAAGTAAAGAGCGTAAGGAAGGAGCACACCGAATTTTGTCCTGGTTCACCACAACATGTGGCTAATCCAGCCTTTCGAGAGACTCTCTCGAGTTACACTAACTCCGTTAAGCTTAAAGGTGCTCAAAAAACCGATACAACTTGAGATCTCGAGTCACACGAGCCTCAATGCCTTTGCTCGAAGATACCGCACTCCAAGACTTCTCACGAAGGAACGAAAGGCTTCCTTCGAGTTTACAACAAGGGAACAACCTCCCTTAAAGTGTATAGAAACACTTAAACACTCAGGAATAAAACTCTCATAAAGAGTAGATATGAGTGAACTAGTAAACGCTCAAGAACACAACAATTTCATCAAGAATTGGCTCTCAAATAGCTAAGAAAAGATAGGAATGCTTATGCAATGAAAGAGTATTGAAATGTTGAAGAATTGTGTGTAAAATGAGAGGATTTGGGTGCCATTTTATAGCCCAAAATGGGATAAACTCGTTGCTAAAGATTCCAACAGGATGAAGACAAATTTTTCAGAGACACAGGGTGATAGTCGATTGTCAAAGCTTGATAATCGATTATCCAAAGATTCCCTGTCCAAAAATTTAAAATTCTATCCGTTGGAGGACAACGGTAAACCAGATAATCGATTGTCAACAAGCGATAATCGACTATTGGTCCTCTCAAAAGTTCCTGGGTTTTGGCTGCAGACTGTTATAATCGATTGTTGCAAAAGTGACAATCGATTATTGCTTGCTTCAGAACTTTAAGTTCAAAACCTGTAGAGGCTGATAGTCGATTGTCACTAAGGTGATAATCGATTATCACCCAGCTAAAGTCTAGCCAGCTGAAACCCGTTTGGAAAAACCGAGGTTTGAAAACCATTGTATATGGTATAAAATAGTGAAAACAAAACTTGTTTGGTAAAAACCAATTTTTCAAGGTCGTAAATCACGTGCGTACGGTTTTGACCGTTTTTCACGTGTTGGACCGATTGACCAAGATATAAAAGTGGTTTTTATAAAATAATTATTTGGGAACCTTTTAAATATGCTCAGAGATAAAAAAGAGGTTTAAAACATTGAAAACCACCGAGTTGGTTCGGGCGCCAAAAACCGAACACCGAACCCCGAATGTCGTACGCCGATGCCGAACACCGACCTAGGTGGTTTTGGTTCTGAGCAAGGACCAGGGATTTAAAAATAATAAAAAGTTATTAAAAATGTTTATTTTGATGCACAAAAACATTTTATGAAATTGTAAAATAATTTTGTCTCTTTGAGAACCGAGACTTGAATTGATTGTCGGTTTTGATCACAAAAGACCGACTCGACTACGTCTTCAATTCTTAATCTTTTCCTTGAGTCTTTTTGGTCTTGTTCCATGCCCTTCTTCACGCCTTGAGTTATTCAACGAAACTCTTCATATCCACGGCGGTTTGGCAATTATCAAAACCTGTCAGAAATGGACACGACTTTAGTTAAACGTACAAAATGTGTTCCAACAAAAGGGGCTGCAGACATGTACAAATTAGGGTGCTAGAGGAATACTCTAATTTAGCCCAAAAACACTTGCACAAAAATGTTTTTCCTGAAAAAAGAACATGCACAATGTTTTGTCTAAATTTTTTTTGTTTCCTAACCTAAATGATCAACCGCGCCATGGGAATGGTCTAGCACAAAAAGCATGAAAATAGGGCCTAGCAAAGATGAAAAATAATGAAACAAAACGATCTACCTCCTAGAAAATTGTCCAATACATCGACCATGACAGCTCAAGCTTCAAAAGTTCACACAGATTGCTTTCAAATGGTCAGATACCAAACGTGGACAATCTAATAGCTCCACCATTCAAACACTACATCAAAGATCAAACGGAGTACGCACAAGAGAACAATTAGATCTGGAATAGAACAATCTAACATTTTGATCAAGTGGACTACGTGCACCCTCACATGCTTGTTGATGTTTTGGAGTAGGTTGGCGTTGTTACTGGGTGTGTCATGGATGTTTTTCGAATTCACTTATCTTGGTTTTCCTGTCAAGAAGCGCATTCAGTACTTTGAGCCAATCTTGTAGAAGATGCATGCAAAATGTTGTGCATTGCAGGGTCACTATCTTTCATCGGGTGGGAAGGCGATCATGATCTAGAGCATTCTTCAAGCCATCCCTACTCAATTATGGGGTTCCCATCTCCCTCTGAAGACTATGATCAAGGAGATGGTGGAATCCATTCTGACTTGCTTCTTTTGGTCTTGCTTGGGGGAAACTTGCCGCTATCGTTGGGGTTCTTGGAAGACTTTGGCATTGCCATGTGGCGAGGGCAGTGTGGGCTTTTTGGATTTCACTACTCTAGCTCATGATTGTTTAGAGAAGTTGTGGTGGAATTTTCAGACGAAGAGTACTATGTGGGTTTTTTATGTGAGCAAAATATTGTAGTCAGGTTTACCTAGTCTTTAAACTTCGTGTTGAGGCTTACTCTCACACTTATAAACGAATGTTGGACGTTCGTCACATCGTGCACCCTATGATTCACTAGCGTGTCCTTATTGGCACGTCTAATTTTTGTGGGATAATTGGTTTGGACTGGTATTTTGGGCCGCCAGCTTGATGCCTACAGTGGCCATTAGCAAGATGAGGTTGCTCAGGTCTATATGACATATTTCTTTACGGGGGAAGATTATTTGCCCGCTAACTTGGTCCACCATTTGCGGCTCAACTCCCCTTCCTTTGATCCTATGCATGCAAACGTGCTTTTATGGACCCCTACTATTGACGGAGCCTTCATGTTAGCTTCGGCGAAGAAAATGCTCAAACCATGTGCAAAAGATGATTTAGGGTCCGTTT